GGGAAAAAATGCTCTAAATTATTATTACTTAGAGAAATATAAATTAAAATAACTCTGAGGATTACTGTATACCTGTCAGATTGGCCAATGTGATAGAAAATGAAAATGACAAATGTTGGAGGGGATGTGGAAAATTGAGACACTATTTCACTGTTGTCAGAGTTGTGAATTGATCTAACCATTCTGAAAAGCAATTTGGAACTATGGCTAAAGGGCTATAAAACTGTGCATACCCTTTGATCCAACAATACCACTAATATATCTATATCCCAAAGAGGTTTAAAAAAAGAAAGAAAGAAAGAAAGAAAGAAAGAAAGAAAGAAAGAAAGAAGAAAGAAAGAAGAAAGAAAGAAAGAAAGAAAAAGGGCCTAGCCTTATATGTACAAAAATACTTGTAGCAGTTTTTTTCTGTGGTGGCAAAAAATTGATTGAGGGGATATCCATCAATGAAGGGAATGGCTGAACAAGAGATACATGATTGTTATAGACTACTACTGTGCTATAAAATGACGAGCAGGATGGATTCAGAAAATCCTGGGAAGACCTATATGAACTGATGCAGAGTGAGGTGAGCAGAACCAGGAGAATATCATACATAGTAACAGCAATATTATGCAATGATCAACTCAGTAGTACAATGATCCAAGACAGTTCTGAAGGACTTATGAAAAATGCTATCCACCTCCAGAGAAAGAGAAAGATTGTCAGAGTCTGAATGCAGATCAAAGCATGCTTCTAAAATTTTTTCTTCATTTTTCTGGGTGTTCGTTAATTTTTGGTCTATGTGTGCTTTCTTTTGCTAGTATGGAAATATGTCTTGTATGACTGTACATGTATAATCTATATCAAAATACTTGCCTTCTTAAGGAGGGAGAGAATTTGGGACTCAATTTTAAGAAATGAATGTTAAAAATTGTTTTTACATGTACTTGGTAAAAATTTTTAAAATAAAAAAATCTTCCCACTTCTCTTCACTATAAAAAGAAATGATTCTGTCTTTGGCAAGACTAACTCTTCCCTTTGTACCTATGAAACTATCCCCCATTGTTTCCTGTAGACATTGCTCCATCAATCATTTCCTCTCTTGGTCAATTCTGCCTCTCTACAACACACACTTCTTCTCCTCTCCTTACCAGTAGGAAAATTCATGTTTACCCTATCCTAAGGCAAAATTTTCCTTTAACCCTACTCCCTCCAAATATCACACTAAAATCTGTCTTTTCACTGATAAACTTTCGAAAGAGTAATCAGTATTGACTACTGTCCCTTCCTTACCACCCACTCATTCTTTGTGTCCCCACCACTTAACTGACACAGCTAAAGAACATGGTATCTCCTCTAGTGGCTTTTGTGACACTCCTCTCCTGACTATTTGACGGCTTGTTCAGAAATTAGGGGTCTGTTGGTGATCTGTGAGAGTATGACATCAGTCAACTGGAAAGGGCCAGACTACAAGGTTTTAAGTATTAAATGAAAAGAAGAATCAGAGATTTTAGTATGATAGTTGGAGGTTGTAGGATCAAAGGAAAGTTTTGCCTTAGGATAAGGCAAATGTGAGTTTGCCTACTGGTAAAGAGAGAAGAAGAAGTGTGTATTGTAGAGAGGAAATGATTGATGGACCAATAGCTAGAGGAAACAATAGGGGGTAGTTTCATAGGTACAAGTGGAAGAGTTAGCCCTTTCACTGGTAAACTGTTGAAAGAGTTTGTTTTTCAGGAAAGGAGAGATTTGAACAGGAAAGAGTCAATGAAGGGAAAAAGGATAAAAATGCACTAGAAGGGGTAAATATTGGAGTAAGTCCCAAAAGAATTTTCATGGGGTCAGGATCAAGAGCCAGATGGATAAATTAGCCTTGGCACAAGAATGTGGGATATTTTGAAAGACATTATTATTTTCTATTATAACCAATTATTAAATTAGGATTGAATTTTTTTTCCTATTTCCTCATTTAGATGACCAGTCCTTGTAGGTCAGTCAGTCTCTAAATGATTGAGCTGATGATGAGATTGGCCTAATCCTTGGGAACATTCTTCTCAATTTTAGGCAGTCCCCCACCCAACCAAGAGAGTCTACTTCTGATTAAAGTGTGTATAGAATGGAATCTAGGTGAATTCCAGCCCTAAAAGTATTAGGCTCAGGCCCTTGAAACCCCTCCACAGTTCAACTTGAGCAGTCTGGGTAGAGACGGATTCTTCAGATAGCTGGAGGCAGCGTCTCACAACTAGCCAAGTGCACAGCAAGAGGAGCTGAAGGCTTTTAGCCCTCTCCCTCATTCACCCCCTCGTTAATTGTTCACCAATCAGGGTTGATCTCCTCCTGTCAGGTGCATTTACTTTTCCAAAGGTATTTAAGCATTCAATGATCTCCAAGGGCTTGTCTTTGGTTACTGAGAGAGACCACTGACCATCAATTTATGGATTATTTACTCACCTAATTGATAGATTGTTAATTACCCAGAAACTTTGTCTCTTGGCTTTTCATTCATCTTAATTTCTCCCTCAAAGATGAGGGTTAAGTATGAGGGGCAGTTAAAATTTTGTGGTATAGAGGAGAAAAGTTAAGGGCAATCAGACAAATCACTACCCAAAGTGAGGAAGTAGGGTTGTAGTAGGGTGTCCGAGGGCAATGTTGTTGTTGTTTGTCCTTCATTCTCAAAGAGGACCATGACATCAGGAAGGTGATGCCAAGACTTGCAAGTGAACTGGATTTGAGTGGACAGGGTTGTACAAAGTCACCAGTTTCACTTTCTCCTCCGAGCCATCTTGGTCCAGTGGCAAGATATAGGTCAGGATGACTGGAGATGGCCCCAAGGACAATGTGGAATTGTTTAGAATGGTTCTTGTGAGCAAGGGGATAGGGAATTAGCAAGAGATGAATGGAAAGATTGCTGGCCATCAGTGAGGGCCCAGCTAAGATGAATTTATAGTGGACCCAGTTAGCTCGTTGGGTGACTGTCAAACAGAGCCAAAACTAAGGAGGGGGCAACTATAGCTTTGTCCCAGGGCACTCATCCTTACAGAGTGTGGACATCATATGCGGCTTACCAGCAATTAGAGACAATGGTACCTACTCAATAAAAAAAAGGTCAAATAAGAACTCTTAGTTCTTCACACTAGCCACATCCAGGTGAGCTTTTCCCCAGTTCTATGAGCCCCTGCATTTCATGTTGCTTGCCCAGAACACAAAAATTGCTAGTTACAGCTCTTTTGTACAGCAACATTCAGTAGCCATGAACAGAAGCAGAGAAATCAAAGACAGTGAGAGATAAGAGTATGTAACATAAAACACATACTATAATATGGTCTATATATTGGTATAAATATGTATATATTTCATATGCTATGTGTATATATATATATATCTATATATCTCCATATACATGTGTGTGTATATATATACATATATCTATATCTATATCTATATATCTCCATATACATGTGTGTGTATATATATACATATATATATATTTGTATATCTCCATATATATACATATATATATATATCCCCCGGGATTCTTCTTACCTCTCCAAAACATGCCCAACAGAAAGGATAGCAAGTTTAAAGTCATATGAAATCCTTGGAAATTAGGTTCCATAAATGTAAAAAAAAAAATTCCAACCCCAAACCTAACAATGCTTCAGAATTAGATTCCTAAAGAACCTATTTCTCTGTTATTCAAGCAATAGCCTTCAAGGGCTGCTCAGCCAGTCAGAATAAGAAGGGGAAAAAGAAAGGGAAAAGCTCTCTTTATCAATAAATAAGCTCGATTGGACTTGAGGGCATGTCAAAAACAACTAAGGGGATAATTAGGAGTCAGACATCTGAGCAGAGAAGCAAAGAAGGCTGGAAGTCTGGTCACTAGAACAAAGATTAATGAGGATGGTGTCTGATTTTTAATGATATGAGAGGGGGCACCACATGCCTGATTCTATGTTCCCATGCCAACCAGCAGCACGTGGCCCAGGTACTTCTCCCTGAGTCATAAGGAAAAATGCATTTTTTTTCCAAGCTAGTGAGTGTTGGACTTAAAATCAGAAATATCTAGGTTCAGATACTGCTTGTGACATTAGCTAATTGATCATAGAGAATTCCTTTAACATCATTAACTTTAGTTTCCTGATCTGTGAAAAGGGTATAATACTTGTAGCACCTACTGCAATATGTTGTAAGGCTTCAATGAGGTCACGCATGTAAAGAACTTTGTAAACTTTAAAGCACCACATAAATACTAATCATTGTTACTTTTGTTTTTAGATTCTCCCCAAAGGTGGGGGAAATGGTTCTAAATCTCAGAAATCTGCAAGATCCCTGATAAATTAATTACAATGGCATTCATTTGTTCACTTCATATTTTCCAGCTAGAGTAAATTTCGTTCTGAACCCCAAGTGCCAATGTGGGAATTAAAAAAAATTTTTGAGGTTAAAAAGAAAAAGAAAATGAAAACCTTTTCCTTTCTGCTGACACATACATTCCTTGGAATGCTTCCTTTTTAATACATAGATTGGTAAAGGCAAGGATTCATTTGTAGAAAAATGCCTTTGAAAATACGATAATTTCATCTCTGTGAAAGTTTAGTTGGTGTCTGTTTTTGCATTCTTCCAAAGAATCCTTTTGATCACATTCACTGTGCAAATTCCTTGAACTGGAATGTCAGTTAGGTGGGGGCCAGAGACCATATCTTAAAAAACAATGGTAGCAATAAGAACTACCCCCCCCCAATTCACAAGCATTTATTTTCTCTTTCTTCTACCTTTCTTTCTCAACTGGGGGGAAAAAAAAGCCAAACCCATGTAACAAATAATTAATTTTATTTCATATGATAATATATTCTGTATATTAATATGCATAACATATATTCAATAATAATAATCAACAGCAGCTCCCACTCCCTTAGCATTAGTCCCTCCCATGTTGGAAAAAAAAAGTCACATGCAAATTAGAGTACCTGGAATATATCTGGAAGTTTTCACAGCCTTGTACCTTTGGAAACCTTCCTAGGTTGAGAAAGGGGAAGTCAGGGATGAGGTCTATGTTCTGTACTTCCCTTCCACCCTCAAACCTCCTTCCATCAAGCCCAGGTGCTGTATGGGAATATAATGAAGCAAAACCGATTCCTCTAGTGGCCGTGTCCAAACATATATGTCTCATTCTGCATCTTGAGTCCATCACCTCGGAGGTGGGTAGCATGTTTCTCATCATAGAACCATATCTTATTCCTTTGTGTATTTCCTTCAGTGTCCCATATATAGTGATGCTCAGTGTGTTTATTGAATGAAATACTAAATGGATGAATTCTGGATTATGACATTTAAATGGATTTAGTGGTAATAATAATAACATAACATGTTGTATTATTAAGTTTATATTATTTAAATTATTATTATGGCAGCTAGGTGGCACAGTGGATAGAGCACTGGGCTCGAATTCAGGAAAACTCAACTCCATGAGTTCAAATCTGGCCTCAGATACTGCCTAGCTGTGTGACCCTGGGCCAGTCACTCTACTTTGTTTGCTTCAGTTCCTCATTTGTAAAATGATCTGGACAAGGAAATGGCAAACCACTCCAGTATCTTTGTCAAGAAAACCCCAAATGGGGTTACATAAGAGAAAAACATCCAAACAATTTCATTAAGTTATAGTGTACTATACAATAATGATACATTTTATCTACCTGTGTAAAAAAGATAATAGAAAGATAATGACTGAGTCCCAGGACTGTTTCTGTCTGAACTCCATTGAAAAAGATCAGAGAAATGAGATAATATTATCATTGTTATTAATAGTGTCATTATTAATAATTAATACCATATCATTTAGCCCTGAGCAAGTCACTTAGCCTTTGTTGTTCTCCATTTCTTCATCTGTAATACGAAGGGATTGGCAGCCTGGGAAAGCAGTGAATAGAGCATTGGGCTTGGAATCAAGAAGACATTTTCATGAGTTCAAATCTGGCCTCAGGCATGTATTAGCTGTGTGACACTGGGCAAGTCACTTAACCTCTGTCTACTTCATTTTTCTCAACTGTAAAATGGGAATCATAATAACACATACTTCTCAGGGTTTAAAGTCACTTCCAAATACTAATTTAAATCTCTGATTTTAAGAAACTGCTTTGTGAATAAAATTTAGGAGGTTATTATGGTGGATTCCACACCCAATACTAGTCAATGGACACAGCTGCCATCTTCAGCCTCTGGCTTAGGATGGAGATTCCCAGCAGAGAGCCCCTGTAGAAAGCACAGACTGACCAAAGCATCATGCTAAAGAGGAAAGACAAAGGTTGTCAAGGCTCAAAGTAACATTTAGATCTGAGGCCTCCAGAGCAGAGCGTGATAGTCAGGAGGCAATCTGAAAGTGAGAACCAGATTCAGGAAAAATGAGCTCAGAAGGCAAGAAGCTTGAGAAGATATAGACAGGAGGAAGCCTACGCAGGGCCAGAGACTCCAGTAGGGGTGATTTTGCAGAAGGATTTTAAGTTCTTGAGATGCCCAGAGACTATACATACCATACTGTTCTCCCCACCCCCCATCCAGCGTAAACTGGGATTCAGATTCCCTCCCACAAAAGACTCTGGGCTCACATGGGTCTGATCCTGAGGACTGACTCCCAAGAGAGTAAGGTTCTCTCTGGTTCTTTGCCCCCACTTGGAGTTAGTCCAGGACAATACCCTAAATAAGGCTTATAATAATAACTATTATTATAATATAATAATTAATAGCTTGTATCTAGGGTTTCCCAAGTGTGGATAACAAGAGTCTCCAACTTTCAACCAAGTTCTCAAAATGCGTATGAATAAAGGACAGCCCTTGTTTTCTTTACCACAGAAAATGTATGAGATGGAAAGACTGAATAAAAACAGAAATATACAGCATTCAGATGATCCATTAACTCATTACCCTCTCCTGGAAGGTAAAAACAATTTGAGGAACTGCTGAACACATGCTCTTCATTCATCTTAGGTTGACATTGCCTGACCAACTTATGGCAATACCAGAGTTGACAAGGTCCAGATCTCTTGCCCTACCATGGTTTGAGCTTTAGTCTTTTAGCTTTGGGGTGAGCACTGTGGGAGACACAACAATGTGGCTCCTAAGAGCTGGAAGGGACTATAGAGATAATCTATTCTGACTTCCTCCTGTAAAGTCCACCCACCCTATGGTTTGTGGCTACAGACACTGGTAGTAGGACATGGCAATATCGCTGCTTCTTCATCACATAGTCTGACTGACACCTGGCTCATTATTAGGCTCAAAAAATGGGGAAAATATCACTTTGGAAGTTTCAGATTTATTAATTTGTTTTCTCCATCAGCTCAATTTTTTTTTAATTCAATGTTACTCCTTCTCTCCTTCCTAACTCTAGCTCTCCTCTTGACTTTTGTCTTGCTATTGGACTTGGGTGATTCTGGTGATGTCTTGAGTTGAGAGTGAATTTGATTTAAATGAGGCAGATATTGGTACAAAGTCATCAGCCTCACTCTCTCCTCCAGGAGTCATTGGTATCCCTCGGCAAGACAAAGGTCAGGATGGCTGGAGATGGCCTCCTATGGAAACCCTAATAACACCCAAAAGGAGAGGGGTGGAGGTAGAATAGTTGAAACACCTTAAGATAAGCTGCCCCTGGGGAAAATTGGTTGGCCTTCAGACGTGGCTAATCACTCCCCTCTCTGACAATTAAGGAATGCTAATTGCTTTATAAGCCTCAACTGCTGCCAGTAATCTTGGCCAGAAGATCAGAACCACCCCAATCAGAACACTGCCCCCACCTTAGCCTCCTCTTGGAGACCAAATCACCCCTAACTTTGAGTAGGAGAGGCTGGTACAGGAAAGCCTTCCCTTGGAGACAGGCCCAGCCCTGGTTGGTTCTTTGCTTACCTGTAAATAAAGCTAGGGTCCCTCATTAAACTAGTTAGCTAGCAAATGCCCTGGGGGCTAGGAGTGATCATGTTATTCAACCAGCCTTTAGTTCCCACTAGGACAGACTGTCTTTGGAGCCAGACCCAGAAGTGGAGTTTGACAAAATGGGGAATAGGATGGATTACAGAGTAATACTGGTTATTAAATGATACTGCGTAATATTAATTTTCCTCACTGGGAAATTTCTGGAGGTCAGGGAGGGCCACTGTGCAATAATGTGTTGCCAAATTAATCTTTTCCAGATCTTAAATCAATGTGTTCTTTACTAATTAGTGTTAGTATCTAGGTAAGGTGAATGAGAACATGACAACTAGTTTTTCTTTAAAAATAAAAAACTCTGGGTCTTCCTATTGAATGGGATAGGAAGAAACTTTCCAGCTTAGAATGTAAGCCCCACCTCCCAGTTAGAATGTAAGCCCACCCCCAGTTAAGGGATAAGGGATAGTGGTGGGTGGAAACTTTTTTGCATGGTGGATGGAGGCTTGCTTGTGTGGTGGGCAGAGATTTGCTTTCATAAGGTGGCCCCTGTTACTGGGTCTCTCTCTCTCCACTTGTCTCGAAGGAGCAGACAGCCATCTCTTGAGATTGTAATAAAGGTAACCTTTGCTTTCTACCTTGAGAAGTCTCTGAGTTTAATTTGGGTTAGGGTCGCTGCCCCACACAGCTTTGGAGAGTCCACTGAGATTTCGCCCATCTGTGAGGCAGACTACCTTCTGGATCCTGGGGGTCAGGGTGCCCTTGGAGATTTCTCTGGTAGCCCGCAGACCAGATTTAGGGAGCCTCCCTCTGTTTGGGTAAGGTCTCGAAGAGAGACGCTCAAGGGGGAAAGCAAAGGCAGGGCAGCTATAAAATTGTGTGAAGCCAGGCTGGCCAAGGTGAATAGAGTGAAATAGAGTGAAGAATTGGATTAGTCATGTGAGTTGTATGCATACATCCAGACCATGACTCTCATGTTCCTTTATTCCTTAGGTCCTTGACCTGGAGGGAAGGTGAAGACCCTCAGCTAAATTAACTAATTGCTAAGTCTCTGACTTAGGGCTGGGGTGACCCCACCCGACTAAATTCCTGAGAGAGCATTCGGGTGACTGTAAGGGGGGAGAGCGACCTCTTCTGTTAATCGTTGAGTCACTGACTCAGAGAGAAGAGCAATCTCTCTCAGCCAAATTCATTTGTGTAATTGAATATGGGTAAGAAAATTATGGGCAAACCGCAGTCTGAAGTAGTAAACCAGAAGCTCTCATTTGATATTCCAGAAGATAGTCTTTTAGGGAGTAGACTCCAAGATTGGAATGAACTACCAAAATAAAAAGGCAAAGATAAAAAAAAAATTTTTTTGATTAAATATGATGTGAGGACTCTGTAGCAATTTGTTGTATGTCTGTTTTGTGTTTCTGTTGTTGTCCGTGGTGTGAATGAGAGTGAATAGAGGGTTTGAGAGTAAAAGGTTTGGAAACTTTTGGAATTAAAAAAATATATAAAATAAAATAAAATAAATTTTTTTTGTAAGACCAGTGAATTGTTCAGAATGCATAGTGAGGTTGTAAAAGCAGTCCAGGAAGAGAGAGGGAGGGCCCTATTCAATTATCTATAGAGGGTTATGCCCTGTTCAAATTGCTGAAGCCTGAGATTTTCAGGAGGGAGGTTCCATCTGATAAGCAGAGGGTACTTTTTTTTCTTAGTTCCCTTAAGGAAGTAGGAAAGAAAAGGATGATTTAGAGCAGGAATTGTCACCAAGTGTTTTTTCAAGGGAATATATAAATTTGTGGAGGATATTTCCTTTTAAAGGGCCAGGAGTATTGGATTTAAAATAAAAATGTTTTTAATTGCTTATTATTAATGATTATGAATTTAGATCTGATTGGATTTAAGTTTACTGTTAAAAAAATGGTTGTTATGAGATGTGGCATTATTAGTTAATGTAATTGTTGAAAGTACTAAGAATAATAAGATTGATAATTTTCTACTTGTGATAATCTGGAAATGAAACTGATGTTATCTGAAGTTTATTGTTTAAGTTATTACTATGTTTCTAAATTGTATTGTATTTCTAAAAACTCTTCGATTATAAAATTTGAGGAAACACTGTGAGGTAGAAATGGTGTTTAGGTAACTCTTGAATGGGTCTTTTAGTGATAAAGATGAGATAATTTGAAACTTTAACTACCTAGTGAGGTATATTTGATTATAAGACTATGATAGGAGATTTTTATTTAAAATCTTGACTATTATAATATATATATATATATATTATATATATATA